TTATTTGTTCGTCTCCTGTGCGCCTTCACTTGAATAATATGAGGATACTGAGAAATCTTCAATCAAAGTTTCATTTTTTTTCTCTGTTGCTCATCGTGAAACGTGCTTATCCAAAAGTTTCCAACGTTTTCGAGAGGATAAAACGTTGTACTGCGGATACGTTTGACGCAATACCAAATAAACTTTATAATTGCATCACAGCGAGTGTGAACCGCTAATTGACAGGTCAAATTGTAAACACCAGTGTTAGAATTTATCCAGATAAATTTATCTAGGTAAATTATCTAGATAGATTTTTTGTCATCTTTTATATTATCTAGATAAATAACGCTAAGTTATCTTATTACTTATCTAAGATAAAATGTTTACTTATCTAGATAATTGTCTGTATTCTTGCCAAGATTAGAGTTATTTTTATTCTTGTTCGTAGACGAATCCAACAAATCAGAGATCATCAAAATCGGTTCAGCCGTTCTTGAATTATAAACTCTGTAACTAACCTGACTTTCTTATATATATATATATATATAGTTTTGTATTCATAATCATAATTCGTGTATTATTTATAATTAATTTTTTAATTAATTAATTAATCATTATTTCTTGGTATGACATTTTGTTTGTTTTTTCATATCGGGAAAATATTTTTTGTATTTTTAAACTTAATTTCTTATTTTGCCATGAAAGTTCTAAATATAGTAGGTATTTGATTTTAGTATACACTGGTAACTCATACGCTGAATTGTCAATACTTCACTCTTGGAACCTGTGAAGTCGTAAATACTTATAGAATAATGAAATCATCAAATAAAGATTATATATAATACAATATTGTTAACTTAAAATAATTTCTTATGTATTCTGTATTCATCCTGATATGTACAGAGCAATTTTCATTGTTTTTTTTTTTTTGGGGGGGGAACATTTTAGTGATTAACTATCATTAAATATTGTGCATTATATATAAATACTGCTTAATGGTACATTACATTACTATAATAAACATTTAACACCTAGGTCCCTATTGATAATAATGATTATAATTGATCCTTCATAGATTACAAATATGAAATATTGACCAAAAAATAAAATTTTTTGAAAATATCTTTTTTTTTTATCTAGATAAAAAAACGAAATTATCTTTTATCTTTATCTAGATGCATTTGGACATATTATCTTTCATTTTTATCTAGATAAATTTTGGACTATCTATTCCCAACACTGGTAAACACCGTTCCGTAGGTATTAGACGGTTATTATTATTATTATTATTATTTTTTGCAAACAGTGCGTTGTAAAAATAACTCGTGGAAACCAGTGATGGGAATTATTCGAGTATTCGAATATTCGACCATTCGAATATCAGTATTCGATGCTACAATACAATACGTAACGAAAATTATTCTTCGTTTAAATTTTCGCGCAACACAAAACGTTTAATAATCATAGGTATTGTAGCATCGAATACTGATATTCGAATATTCAAATTATTTACGGCGGACTTATTCGAATTCGATTATTCGAAGATATATTACATCTTTAGTGGAAACTACCGCTTCGTAAACGGTTATAATTTTTATCATAATATCTAGTGGTTTATGGAAAAATATTTTCATTTTCTTGCCAACAAAATGTAAACCGTACACGCGGTGCAGCCATAGGCGTGCGCAGACTTTTACTTCCAGTCGAGCCTGAATACAATTATTGCCCCAATATTTAGATAGTACCCCTAATATTTTTCTAACAATTCAATATAGTAGATTCTGTTGTAAATTAAAAACAATGTAGTATTTATATCAATACATAGAATCAAGTATTATATTTCTATTATATTTTTGAAGTTAAAAGTAAAACTTTAAATTCTTTAAAATCAAATGGTATAAATACAATTAATTAATTTTCACGAACATATTAAAATATATATAAACATTTTACTATGGTCAGTTTAAAGTTTACTATGCCTCCGAAAAAATGCCGGTCAAACCGGAGCTCACCCAGCTCGCCCCGTGCGCACACCTATGTGTGCAGCTAAAATGCGATGCAAGATGGCGAAAAAATAAAAAATTCTGTTACGCGCTTGGTGATCGTTTTACGTTACATTTTAGTTACCGCGTAAATCGGTTTGTTTCCCGCTAAATCACCATTATGTAAAATGATCAAAACAATATTTTATAATAATTTACCGTATCTCGAAGCATACGTCCGTAACCGGTACGTTGTGTTATACACGGAGACACCAGACTAACGATTTACAGTACAGAATTTCATCATTTGTCGCATTCCAGCGCTGTTTGCGATATTGTTATTATATTTTATTAGAGCTAACCGTTTTATTTGAAACCGGTTTTCTTCGCGCGTTAGAACTCTTTCATCCGACCAGATCAACGTTGTCGCCGCGTGTTCGTATCGCTGCGAACCACGAGCGCCAATCGTCAGTGGCCAGTGGCGTCGATCCCTGCGTGCACGTATTATAAGTGCAATTAGACCCGATTTAGGCGGCTAGTCTTATGATGGTCAGGGATGACAATGGTACCAGGGCGTACTTGTAATTTATTAAGAAGATTGATATGGCAGTAAAACCAATTTATTTAATAAATTAGGTTGAACTTTTAATATTCTAACTTTTGTAAAAAATAAAGAAAAAAAAGACATCTTAAATTTCAAGTGCCAATAAACAGCACACATTTCATTAAAATGTTTCAAAGCTATAAAATGTCTTCAAAATGCTAATCTTAGTGCTCAGTAAATGTTTCATCTTGCTACGATTAATATTTATAGGACAGAAACTTTTTCTCTTTCGCATATTTCCCAACTATTTGGGGTCGGTCACCCTTGTCCGAAGCATCCACTCGTTTTGATTTTCTACATTCTCTACGCACACTTCAATAGAGATGCAATGTGTATTCAAATATTCGATTATTCGAATATCCGAATTCGAACCGGCCCACCAGAAATAATTTGAATATTAGAATATTTGATTATTTGAACATTTGAATATTAGTATTCGATGCTTCAATACCTATTATTATTAAACGTTTTGTGTTACGCGAAAACTTAAACGAATAATTTTCGTTACGTTTTGTATTGTAGCATCGAATACTCGAATAATTCCCATCACTGCACTCCAACAGCCCTCATATCATTCCCAATCGTATCCAACCATTTATTTTTTGGTCATTTCGATTATCTGGTGATTTTTCTTTTTCGTTTACTACAGATAAAATCTAAAAAGTCTTGAAATCCACACGCATACCATGGTAGAACCAATAGATTCCTGGTTACACTCCGATATGAAACTAAATTTCTTGATTTGCGTTCACTGCGAGTATAACATGTTTATAGTGAGTCGATAGAACTTAAGTTTTCCGAGACAAAAGTATATGCATAATATGTTGTTAATATCTCTCAGTAACGGATATCTATTACAGTCCGGCGAGTTTCCACTGTTCAGAGGTTTCACCGGTGCGAAATAGTCGTGAGAGTTATTACAGCAGCATCGACGGCAAGAGCTTAGTCCAACCATCACGTGGGTCCAACGCGAACGATCGTAGATGATGATGCGAAACGGGAAAAAGGAAAAAAAACTTCGAGTCGTGCACGCGATTCGCTTCGGGCCCGCGGCCGATCGTTTAAACGGTTCTCGGCACGACGCCCCCGCAACAACGTATTGAGCGTGAAAAACGGCTCACAAACCATCGCAAATGTCCATATCTCATTGTTGTAGTAATTATTTTCATCCATGGTACCGCTCCACGTGAACGTCTGCCATTCCAGGGGCGTATTTAGACTTACTTTTTTTTTTGGGGGGGGGAGGGGCTCAAATTTTTTCTTTAATTCAGGCTCAAAATTTACTAGTAAAATTGTTGGTAATATTTAAATTAGGTGAATCCTTAATGATTGTTTTTTTTTTTTAATCTATTATCGGATCCACTTAAAATTGACTTTTGAGTAGTTCTTTTTTAACGCTTGTGTTTTATTTGATTTTGCACTAAGTGTATACCCGACCAAAAATCCAATTTAGCGTTCACAGCCACGCGTAATTTGAGTTAGATATAAAATGATTTACATTAAAAGAATTTGAAATGTGTATCTCACGTTTAATCAATTTCTTAAATACGGATTCAGGGGGTTGATCACCCCTTCGCCCCCTAAAATACGCCCATGTGCTATTTTCGTGGATCGGACACGAGAAACGAACTTACGTTTGTACTTGCGCAGGGCCGCGTTTAGGGGCGGGCTGCAGCTCAGGCCCTCCCCTGTGATTTTACGATATTTAAATTGGGACACTTAAAAAATATTTTATTCATGTTGACACGTATTCAATCGGATTATATATATTATATACATTCGGACGTTTAAAATTTAATTTTATCCATTATTAATTATGGATGTGTATTTACGTTTATTGAAAATCAACGTTGTTTTGGAATCTAGATAAAAGTTCCACGAGCTTAATTGTGGTTATTTAATATATAATTATTTACTCATTGTTTAACTGCTTACACTTAAACGGTTTAAGCCATTCGTTTAAAGCAAATATAATATTATGATGATATTACTTATATTCGTTGTCTTTTTTATTATTTTTAATTATTGAACAAGTAGTTGATTATTATTATTACTTATTATGACATATTTAAATCTTATTTGGGATGTAAGAAAAAATATATTTTCTTGTTTACGTATAAGGGTCCTCCACGTTCCCGTACGTGTGCATAATATACAGTACCGATCCGCAAAATAAAACGAAAAACACATTTACTGCACACGGGAGAACTGAACGCTGCCGATTTCATTAAAGAAAACAAAAAAACCTCTAAAGAGTAGTTTTATAGAGGACGTCACGACGCAATAGTAAAATAGGATGTTACGCTGTCGTTTTCGAAGTGTGAACGAAACGAAACGCGTCCTGACACACAATGTAAACCGATTACGAAAGTGTTTTATGTTTTATTATTTTTTTCAACGTGCTGTACACATAAAATGGATAAATACGTTACCTGACATTGAGTCTCAGGATCCGGATACATTTTTCCCGATCGATCACACGCGAACCGCGTCAATTGTACGGCGTTGAAGTTTTGTTGGAAATGTATAACATTATTAATATTTTGATTGAACTGATCGATGTGGGGCCTGTGACCATCTCGCGCGTCCCAACTCTGCAATAGAATTTATTAAATTCAATAAATTTCTTCTTAGACCGAAATCGTTACTACTATTGTAGTTAGTTCTAGACGGTTCATTATTTTAAGGACCAGACCACACTACAAATTTTACCTGGGGACCGAAGTCGGACTGGACCAGTAATAACATTTAATAAACTAGACCGTAGACCGGATTGTCAGTCCGATCTTAAAACATTTTGGATCGTTTATGGACTGGTCCGTAAAGTTCAGTTTTTATTAACCCAAACCGTACCATATGATGCGTTTCATATTACACTGGATCGAACTACCCGACTCTATGAATAAATATATACCGAAAATTGTAGGTTTTTTTTTCGTTTTATTTGTTTACATAACAATATCTCTATTTAGATTTTATGTAGGTACCATGATTGGGACCGGACTGAATTGATTTTCATTTCTTTTTTTTGAAACCGGACCGGATTGAAAATGATGCATTTGATCTGAGGACTGGACCGAACTACTCCTAAAAATTATTGAATCGGACCAAACCGACGATTCAATAATATTGTTATGTTAGGACCGTACTAGACCAGACCATGCAGAGCACTATAATATTGCTCCTCTTTCGACGGATACAAATAATAGAATATACGGTACGAGAACCGTAGCTCGTTTATGTTTTTTCCCACTAATCGTCTACACGAAATTGGCCAGGGGTACTCGTGCGAAAATAGCTTTTAATATTTTTAATTTTAAGGCAATTAACATGAATTTATAACTTTTTTTTTTCTTTTTTAGTGACTGTTCGTTGATACTGTCTTAGATTTACCTCGATGTTTTACCGACATTTATAAAATTTCGAGAAAACATTTGAATTACAATTTGGTCATTTCTCGTTCGAGGAATTAGAACAACAATCGTATTAAAAAAAAAAAAAAAAAAAAAGCCAACACTAAAACAACTATAAAGAAGATTTAATTTTAATTTATTAAGATAATCATCCATACATTAATTATGGGAGTGTTGAAGTGCTCTGATTTTTATCGCCATAATGCTTAAATTCTAGGAAAATACATCGTCCTCCCATCTACCTCCCCACTGCATAACTTAAATAACATAGAAGTACAAAAATTATGTTATTAAAATTAAATTATTCGATTATTTTTGTTCCGCCGGAGAAATAGTTTTTTCTTTAATATTATATCATATCGAATGCATTAAAATTTGATACAGTTGATGGTAAAGTCGTAACATCCTGTTTTATTTTGTTGTTGTTTTTTTTTGTGAAATGACAAAACGGTCTTTATTGAAATAGGACGTAACTACGTATAAATAATTTTCAAATGGTTGATTTACTAACCATGTTTTAATAGTGAGGCAATTTTATTTCCATATTCTCGTCACTACTTAGAAGAATAAAAAAAATCTGGTTGGCTAACTACTGAAAATCTATGAGTGAGAGAGAAGCAACTGTTTTTGTCCTAATATTCCTTATTAACTAGCATTATTTGTTAATTCCATGTTTTTCAAATATCGTCGAACATAAAAATTTTATATTAAAAAATTATTTATTATTTATGTTTAACACTATACGTAGGTACATTAAAGGGTGAACAAGAAATTAGTAAAATGAAATAAACGAAAAGATATGTAAATAAAATAATTTACCTTCAGGTTTTAAACATAACAGGAGTAAAGATTTTAACAAATCGTTCAATTTAACGTTTTCAATTTCAAAATTAATCGTAATTTTCTAGTGAAATGAGATCTATCTCAAATAATATAATCTAATAAGAATGAAATCCGATCATTTTTTAAATTTGTATACGTTGATTTTTTAAGGAAAATATGAATTTTTCTAACGATAATATAATTAAATCTAACCGTTATAGCTAAAGTTTTCAAAATATTAATATGTAAATAAATATTGATTCAATATTATCTTCACATAGAATTTCTTAAAGTCGCATTTTTCTTAATACGAATATATATATTAGGCTATGGTTTGATGATCATAGATATTTTAAGGCTGTTCAAAGATGTTGAATATAAATATGATTGAGACTAAGTTCATTAGTTCATTATGACAAATCGTTCATGTTACGCCAAAACGACAAATAATAATCTCGTTCATTCGTTCGTGATTCATATTTCATTCACACTGATAAGGAAAATATGAAAAAATTAACTTTTGATTAGATATTTGTTGTAGATACCTCAGCATAGGTATCGCATCGTTCAACGAACCAGTTCAACTATGTGTACGATAAGTTCCATCTTTAGTGGGAAACTTGCTTTCCGTGCATTAGTAGTTCATCGTAATGACTAGTAAAATTACTGCCAGCTCGTGCTTTCTTGTACACTTTGCACAGTATTCGTCGCGCTGATTTCTGTCCCCATAGGTTTGGTCGAGGTACCAATAAATAGATCTATAATAGCCGATGCCATTTGCGAGTTTTTACCACTTTTTGGCCATAACGATGGTCTCTTTAATGATCTAGATCAATCGTAATAACGTTGCGGCCTGCTCGTTGGCGAAAACGTGTCGTTATGCTCCGTCACACACTTATTAGGATTTGTTTTCTAAGTTGACAATAGTATCCACGCGTAAATTTTACTGTTTTTTAAACACACAATATTATGCGTTATCCAAAATCAATTTGATACGGAAGTGAAAAATAAGGATTACTCTTAAATTGTATGCTTCAATCCTTGACCGCGAAACAGATTTTCAGTATCAAGATACCGTTAACTATGTTTTGGAAAACAACTAAGTACATATAATTTCTCCTCAATCAAAACTTGTTTTTCCAAAAATAACTTACTGTAAATTAATATAAAATAGGTAAAGTATGCGAAAGTAGTTTCTTGTGAATTATTTACTATATTATGTAGTAAATGTTAAAAAAATTGTGCTAACAATTATTTTTTATTTCATTAAATAATTATGGACAACACATTATACTATCGATAAATATATCAAACAAATTCAAATATTAATAAGGTACGAAATATTATTATTATTACAACGAACTATTATTATATGTAGCTTAATGAAATTTAATGAATTTTATTACTTTTTGTTTGCATAAACTCAAGTATTTAGCATTAATTTATATATTTATTCGTCAGTAAGGGATTCGAACTCGTTATCACAATGCTTATCTGTAGTCGCCTATTATACCTGTACATAAGAAAATTCACATTTTGTTTCATATTTATTTAAATTTTTTCTTTTTCTTAAGAAAACACTTCAGTAAAATATAATAACGACAAACATAAATATGTAAGTTGTTCCATCAATCTTTTTGGAAATTCGAACACAGTAAAATACGATATAAAATGAAATATTATTAAGTTACTGTAATAAGTACTGTAATATAATATATTATATATTATTATACTTCACGTACGTAGTGGGCACATGTAAATTTTAATTAATCAATCCGTTGAGAAAAAGTTTTAATCATAATATGCGTTTACATAGTATGCACAGTCGTAATGCTGTACGTAATTAAATTAAATTAATGTTAACGGAACTACAAATATATTACGCCACGTATTATTTTCACGAATACTTGATCACAAGGAATTTTAATAGGTACTATAGCGATACTATTATGATGCTACAGCAAAATGTAACGATGTCACGAGATAAAAGGATAACGAAAATTAAACCTACAGTTGGTCTGCCGTTTTCGATTATATTACTTACTGTACCACTAAGACAGTTGTTGAAATGGCCTAAGGTACGTGAAATCAAATCGCGAGGCATTCAGATGTCTAAACATTATGTAATTACTGAGATAGTTCTTGGAGCATAATTATATTCATGAGTTTGGAACGAAATGAACAACGGATAGTCAGATTAATAATAATGACGATGATAATAATAATAATAATAATAATAATAATAGATTATGATAGATAAAAAGAAGTAAATAATGTGCAATGCCAATGTCACTACCAGTGAAGATTATTATTTACCTGTGGTATCGAGTAGAATGGAACGCGCAGCTGTTGTGCGGGAGGGGGATGAGTGATTGAAAATTTGCTTTCGTATATCTGCGTATGGACTGGCAGAGGAAGTGATTCTTGTGCCGGCCTAAATCTTGGTAATTGGTAATTCTTTAAATTTGAAGGTATCCAGATCTTGTACGTCGACTGTACTTCGTTTTCAGGCTCGTACTGACCTTCTGAAGGAATAAACCTGATTTCAAGACAGAAAACTTCAGTAAACTCGATTGCTGTTCACGTCGTCTTGAATTTGTGAAAACTCAATTGTTAACGAAAAAAACATTTTTTTTTTTTTTTATGTCTTTTAATAATTTTAAATTTCACTTCTTATGATTTTTTTTTTTTTTATTACGTTTTAATCGCTACAAAATATGATAGTATTTAAAATGAATAAACCATTGTTGGTTATTGTCTTAACAATATGTTTAAATATATTACGAATAAATTAATTTTTCGAGTTTAAGAAAACATTAAAAAACTATTGATTTTCATTCATTATGTTACACTGGGCTTAGAAAAAAAATATGAGTCATAAATGCAATATAAATTATTAAACGTTGAAGAAAACTGTTATAGTTTTAATTTAATTAAAAAAGTTTACAGTAAAATATCTTACTTGAAACATTGATGAAAAAGTAAAAACTTGATTATTTTCATAAAATATATAATATAAATAAATTTTAAATTCTCTATAATCAGTCGGAAAATACTTCTAATAATAGCTTAAAATACAATTTACTATAAAAATTTCTATAAAAAATGATTTAAAAATAATTAATTAATAAATTTATTGTTTTATTTTGTATGTAATTTTAAATTTATAAACTAAATATTAAAAATACTAGAGTTTCACCTTTAAAATATCTGTTTTATGTAACAAACTACGTACTTGGAAAGTATTATCTATCAACATTCAATAAAAAAAAAAAAAAAAAAAAAAATAAAAAAAAAAAGCATTTTTCATCGAAATCCGGTCTCTAATTTAAAGGAATAATATCTTTTATTATTGCGTGAAATAAAAATCTACCGAAAAGGATATTCTTATCTCTACGAAATAATATCTAAAACCTTAGTATTTTTCCTAATTAAAGATAACAAAGATTTATGAAAGCATAGTGAATCGAAATTACTATACAGTTTAGTTTCACGACTACAAATGGTTAAAAATTATCGCATATTACTATTAAAAATCATCAATATTTACTCTGCATTAGAAATGTACAAAGTTTATCAAATGATTATGTAAAAGTAACCGTTGAGTAGTGTTTTTCTTTTTTAACCTTTTTTCAACATCATCGTTATGTTTTATACAGAATACAATTAAGCTCATTATCAGTAGAAAAAAAAAAGGAATTGTTTTACGGACACGTGTTAAGGATTTACCTTCCGTCAGACGTATGGATCATTTTTACAATCGATTTGAACAGCTCCGGGTCGTCCCGCTGGCTCTGGTAGAATGATTCTTTGGGTCTGGCCTCGAACAGTACCCCATCGGGTACGGATATCCCTTCTTTGTTCAACATGTTCAACGCTAGGCGGTCCGCTTCGAATGCAGAATCCGGGATTTTACCACCGAAAAACGGTAACACGTTTTCTCGGAAGAGCTGGCGCTTTTGCTGGAAGAGAAGAACAAAAAAAATGCGTGACACATCGTTCGCAAAGGTAAATAACAGTCGAATATCTCTGCGGTGGAGGGACGGGCGACGAAATACCAACGACGGTCTAACCACGGGAGGCCCGGCACGATAAAACATATAGTTAGGGCCGTAACAAGTTCCCAGGCACAATTCCTAGGAGAGCGCAAAAATGAAAAATTTGCAATTTAATTGTTGTAAGTTATAACTAAGGCTCGGAACTTCTAGGAACTTGCATGTTTTTAAATAATTATCAAAAACATAGCTAAGTAATATATAAATTTGTTCCATAGCAATACAAGTTTATATTTAAAATGTATAGTTGCATATTTTGCATATTTGACCATTTTTCATTTATAAGTGAATATTTGACCATTTTCATTTTATAAATGCATATTTGACAATTATTCATATGAAGGAGTAAGCTTTTAAATTTTATAAAAAAAAATTATGATTTATTTCTTCATATATCCCGTGATTTGGAACTCAAGGTGTCTTATTGGTGCACTAACTGAATGCATTAAAATAATTAAAACTAAAAAAAAACTTACACATTCTGCAAAAATTGAAGAATCTGCACAAGCTAAGGCTAACTACAAAAAATATCGAACATTTTAAACGGAAAAATGAATCTATGGATGAATTGCCTGCAGATATTAGTAGTATTGACCAATGATTTTTTAAATTTGCACCAATAAGTTCCGTAGAAGTGTAACGTACCTTTTCTAAATATAAAATTATTTTGGCTGATAACAGGCAGTCATTTAAATTTTCCAACTTAAGAAAATATCTTATAGTCCAATTATAACTATATTAAAAATAAAAAAAATGTTTTCAATTTAATTTATTTTTAAAACCATTTTAAGTATTTTGTTTTAGATAAAAACTCAATATAAGATGAAAAAAAAATTGAAAAAAAGAAAAAATTATCTCAGATTATCATATCTATCGTATATAAAAATATTATTATAATTTATTACTAGTTAAATTTTTTTATTTAATTAATTATTACAAATATAATTTTTTTAAATACATATTTAAATTGCATATTTATTGATTCTTTAGGGCATAAATGCATACATATTTTAAGGTTTTTAAGGCATGAAGTTCCTTGCCCTAGTTATAACTTATAACTTATAAGTATAATTATGTATTTATGTATTTACATATATAAATTATAAATATAATTATGTTATACCTATGTACCTACTTATTATTATAATGTATATTTATATTTTAATAAGTAATTGATATAAATAAAATTAACAAATGCTTACATACGAGTAAGAATAACTATAAAGTAACTATAAAGAAAAATCATTATTTATATTGCGTTTAAAAAAATATTCAGTTTTTTTATAAATTAAAATACTTAAGGACGCATTTTGAAGTTTCGCCCCGGGCGCAATATTTGGTCGCTACGGCCCTGCATGTAGTATCGGTAGAAGTCGATCTCGACGGACCGACCAGAGCGTCTGAGCATAGGAACCCGTCGACGGCACGCGAACGACAACGGTTCACGTGTTCGGCGAACGTCCGGCGCGCGTTGTTTTGCCAATCAGCCGCGCGTTCGTTTCGATCTGGCCGAACGGGCATCGCATCCGTCGACCGTTTCCCGGGGAGAATTTAATATTCACTTCGGAGACGGACCCGTTGTGGCGTTAGCGCCGCCGCGTGATCGTCTCGGTTGAAACGTTCGGACGAAATGAAACTAACGAAATCGTTTCCTAGTCGTGTCTCCACCGACGGAGTAAAACACGATTGGATACGTTGTAGGCCAAAGCTCAACTTAAAACACAAAAGCAAAGTTTCAACGAGCGGTGGAAATTTACATTTAAGTTGAACCATCGACCGGTCGATCAATAAACCTTAGATATTTGCTTGGTTCGGTTGACATTTCAAAATTTCTGATTACGAAGAACAGCGATTCGCGGATACGCGGACACCACGCGTTCAGTTAAAAGGGAAAACACAATTCCGTACGATTTCACCTGTTTTTTAACTACACAATTACGTACGAAGTTTTAAGCGTTGATTCCAATTCGTCCACATGCCCATATGAGCGAACTCGAAAAAGTTAATAAATACTCTGTGCTTTATCGCTTTCATTACCTATGTTTGTTGTTAACGATATCAAATATATCACATACAACAAAATCTTGTTGTTTCCATTATATTTTACTGTATTTTCCGAGTTTCAGTAAAATTAGTAGGTTATAGATGTCAGGGAATCCAAATTTAAGCAATTTCAAATAATTTTAATAAAATAAAAATTTTCAATTTTATTTATTTATTAGTTACTTTTATTTAGTTGCATTCATTTTATTTATTATTTTATTATTAATTTCTTTTATGAACTATTATAGAACTGTTATATGTATTATAAACATATGTACTATATCTATGTCTATCTTTTTTTATTTCTATCTATCTATATATCTATATTCTATCATTTATCAGATATATTACGGTGAAATTAGTAAATTTGACAATGTTGCATACAATTTAATACGCAATCGTGTTCTACCTCGCTGACCAAGTGGACGGTAACGCCACTGCCGTTGTTCGGGCCAAGAATCGGGAACGTCACGCGTGGCACAAAAACAATACCAGCAAGAGCGCCGCAACGTCCCAGGGACCGAACGCGTTGGTTTCGTTTCGCGGTTACAGAGCCACGTTTGACGGGGGTCAAGGGGCGCACTTGCCCTGGGGTGGCAAATTGTATGATGTTTGATGAGGCGGAAAATGGTTGAGGATCAACATAAAATAAAAAATATATAGTTATATTTTTTCTTGTATGATTTTATGACCATAACATATTATTTTTATTGCATATATTATTTTTTATTTTGAATTGTAATTTTCTTAAGGGCGCCATATTTCAATTTACACCGGGGCAGTTCCGTAACTTAACGCGGCACTGCGCGGCCGTTCACGACGGTCTCGGGCCGACGACACTGTTTCGTTCGACCTAAAACGCGGCGCGACTTTCGAAACCTTTAATGCGTTCGGACGGGGGTAGGCGGAGTAGGCATCGCGGACACATACACGACCAATTACCGGAGCGGTAATAATATATTGTGTTTGACGTTGGAAAAAAAAATAAATAGTTGCCGCCCCTTCAGCAGTGTCACCGAGCGAGTGTCCCATTGTTCTTTAAATATCACTTTTTACAAGTTACACTGACATTGACATTTGAAAAGAATAAAAATAATAACACCTAGCGATTACAAAGCCAACTAGTGCTGTTGCGTATTTTTGCACCAACGTGTTCCATTGAAAAGGTAAATGTCTGGTGTAACACAAATTCGCACAAATGATAGTACACGTTAGGATTTAATTTATTTTTAACGACCGAGGACTAAACAGCGTTTGCCTAGTACAATCCATACCTTAATTAAACGACTTGTAATCAATGGTAAATATGTGGGTCAAAGGCGATTCATAAATAGTTTAAATATTAAAAAACAAAAAAATACGTAAGCAATTAATAAAGAATGAGTTTTAGAGAAAATATGAAAACTAAAAAATTAAGGAAATTTCCAAAGCACTTTTTTTTTCACTTATGAAACAAATCCAATAACCAACCGAATATAACTGTACACTTTTTTTGGTATAAATTCTTATTTTTTATTTTTATTATTTTTTATTCAAGTTTAAACTAACGTATAAATAAATAAGCGCTTAGCCTGGAGTATTATTATATTTGTAATGTACGATCGATTTCGAGTTAAAAATTCATCATTAGGTGTAGTCAATAAAATCGCTACTGATTATGAAAAAATAGAGGAAGGAATATATTAATACATATGTATGTATTCCTTCCTTTATTTTTTTTATATTTATTATTATTCAGTCGTGATTTTATGTAATTTTTAAGTACGTGATTATGAAATTTTAATTCGAAATCGGTTGTACATTACAAATATAATAATACTCTAGAAAAAGCACTTATTTATTTATTTCTAAACATAAGCTATTTATTTATATACTCAGTTATGAATAATTTTAATTTAATTTGATCGTAAAACTAATAATTTGTTTTTACTATATTTATTTACCCTTTTTTAATTTAATAGCATTTTATATCAACATACATCATTGTACAATGTTATAATATTAATATTATTATTATTATTATTATTGTTTTTGTTGTTATGTAAAATACATCCGAATAATAATAAATTGATGAATTAGAAAAATAATTTCAATAAAATCTTGGTTTAATGCTTATCATAGTTTTATTATTTGTTTTTCCAATTTGTGATCAATTTTTAATCCATGGATTTTATTGTCTCAACAATTTTCATTTTCAAACGAAGTATCATAGTTATATTCTAAATTGTAGTTCATTTACACTGAACAATATAAAAAAAAAAAATTACTGATTTCTAATTTATTTATCTGAACTATATATAATTGTGTATTGTAACTAATGAAATATAATATATAATGTAATCATTCGTTCATTTCTTGATCGCTCAATAATTGATAAATTGATTCCAACTGTAAAATTTTGTTCAACAAAACGGATTTTTATAAAAATTGAATAATTTAAACACTTGTGTTATAAATTTATAACCTATAAGAACTTTGTTTCCTCGAAATATGTGCTATTGGTTAAGTTTTATCTATGAAAGTATTTAATACATACGATGAAATCGATGTGATCATTTTTTGAAAATAAAAGCCTACTTATATCGAAACATTTGAAACTTATTAACAAAAACTTCTGGAATATTGATTTTTCTCTTTAACCAACAATATAAAACATATTTAAATTGTTGTCCAATTTTTCGTTCTTAGAGATTCACATAATAATCGTGATTGTGATTTATCTTTTAAACAATTATAGCAATATTATGGTAAAATAAAATATCTATAGTACATTAAAAAAAAAAAAAAAAAAACAGTAAGTAGTTAATCAGTGGGATGAAAGTTTTGGAAGGATAAGTTTTTCGATGTGCAATTAAGAAAAAAAAAAAATGTAAGGAACTGAAACATTAATAAGAAAAATTACTTGTAGATACATTTTAATTACTTATTTAATAAAAAAGAAGGAAATACAATAATAAAATATAAACGCTAGAAGGAATTTAACATTAATTTGAAGTTATTTTTCAATTTACTACCTAAAAACACTTTTTTTCAGTATTACAGTAAATAATTAAAGAGTTATTTTGGTGCAGTTCAACTATATTCAAATGTTTAAATAAAGAAATAAAAAAGAGTTTTAATCAAAACATTCTTTATTTCATTAAAAATAATTAGAAAAAAAAATAAATACTTTTTTGTAAATTTATAGTTTTACGATTTAACCAGTATCTTAAATAAAAATACTTAATGACATTTTATTTTGTTTATCTCTCATGGAAATAATTATGATCCAAAGATATATATATATTGTTTAATTATTATTTCAATTGCTTGGTACGTTTGTATTAGATATTTTGCTTTATCGAAACCCCTATTTCCATCATCATACCATATTCATTTTTATTATAATTTATTCTTGATGGTATGTTTTATTTTTTTAATATTATGTAATATTTAAAAAACATAAATGAATAATTTTAAACAAATTAAATATTGATTTTATATCAATCCTCTTATTAATATCTAATTTTAATTTTTAAACCAAAATAATAGAAAATTTAACCGACATCGAGTAAATAAATAAAAAATTTTATTACGTAAAATTTACCTACGTCATACCTTAGTGGCTGAGCTGAATAAAACTTCAACACAAAAGTGTTCAAAGGAAAAGTACTTAACCTTTTTTAATTTACTTTAAAATAAAATGAATAAAAATGTTTAAAAAAAATCATATCAAATTAAAACGATTTATATCTATGATTATTTTTTAAAATCCCTGATTTTAATAATCTCAACCTAATTTAAGGATTAAAAACAAAAAACTTATTAGTAAAATGAATAGCAGTATCTATTATAAATGTTAACGATTACGTTTATACTGTATTGAATAACACAGGCCATAATCACCCGAAATAATTCTGCATTAATTATTTTTTGTTCATTTACTCAAACTAAAATGATAATTTTCAAATATACTTCTATAATAAAATAATATTATTTTTAATGAAAAATATTTCAAATATAATACATTTCAAATGAACTTCAGAAAAAAATATTTTAATATAGTACCTTTACAAATATTATAATACTACAGCATCTTAACTATCTACTAGAAAGTAAATGTATTAAAATGATTAAAAAATAATTTATTTTATTTAAGTTATTTTTAAATAATTTTAAAATAAATTTTAAAATATTAGAAACAAGGAAATGTAATATTTATTTACCAACATGGTTTTTAATATAAAAGTAAAATTATTCCTCAGAAATTCCTAAATTATTACTATTTTCAATATTCTGAATAATGTTATAGTTATTTATATTATAGTTATTGTCACATTATTTTAGTATTATTATTTGCATTGTTATAAATGTTATATTGTTATTATAATTTTGTTTTAGAAAAATGGAACATAATTCACAATTTTTTTAAATCATTTATTCAGAATAAATAATTTACTGTTGGATTAAACAATTCTAAATAGTTTTTATCCAATACTAATATTAAACATTTAAGCAACTAATCAATGAAAACTGAACGGACACGTATACCAATAATTATTATTTTTTCAATCAACCAAGTATGATATAGAATTTGGTTTATTAAATGAACACGATATGAATAATAACACAACACTTTTTTGAAAATAAAGAGTAAGTGAGAGAGAGAACTACGTTAATTATCATAATACTACATTACATTAACACTCCCCGAGTTCTACTATTAAGTATTAAGTATCGATTTTTCCAGATTTTTTGGACATATTACACAAATCAAGAATATATAAAACTCGTCAATGCTTAGCAAACATGACTTTTCAGATCTCTATATTGTGTAACTCCTGAATAATCCAGGATTTGAATTATTCGTGCGCTTTACAAATGACAGTCATTTATATTATTCAGAACTAGCTTGACGGTAACGTTTCGATGATTTATTTTCACAGCTATTGAACAAATCATAAATTTTACTAAATTTTTGTTTTGTTTTACATAACCGAGTCACCGGAGAGATTAAAATATACAACGGTACACATAATGGAGATGGCTATTCCCGATATTATCGAGATTTTCCAATATCGTTGATCACGCGGAAAACGTGTGAAAATCGATATTTCTAAATTTCGGATTCCGAACAAAATAACAAGCCCGTTGTTTTGCTATAATCAAACAAAAGTCACAATCCCAGACGGTCAACGAGCAACAAAACGATTTTTTATAGAACGCGCAGAGAAACGTCGTACATTTAAGGGATATGTTCCGGACGAATTCGTCGCCAGCCGTCGAGACGGAGCCGGGAACGTTAACGACGGCAAAGGTGGCAAATACCATTTTCCCCGAGATCTCGCGACCATCTGAAGCGATGTTTTCGTGTTGCGGCCGTTTATACACGGTCGCACCGAAGGCACCTCGGCCGCGCTCGGGTTCAAATCGATATCCGCAGAGACACGCGGAGACATCGTTACGGTACGGGTGTGTGTTGCACTCACTTTTTTCGACGTGCACGCCATGTCGGCGAGCATTAACGTCGCCAACGCCACGCGGATCGCCGTCAACGACATGCCGTGCCGCATGGATCCACCGGTGCAGGACTGGTGTCGAACGATTCGCGGAGAACGTTTCCGGCCCGCGAACGGAAGAAAACAAACAACGTCCAACGTTGAAACGTTATCGGACGGACAACGATAACGGGTTGGGGTTTGACGAACCGACGCGGCGTCGTAAGCTACATGTCATATCACCGTTCGATCGATCGTCGGCCGACAGAGATTGAACGATTACGACCATGTACGCGTGACACTTTTTCTCCGGCGCTGGAGAACGGACCGTGCGACGACGGTGGGACGCGGCGGAATGAACGGTCGGTCGGCCGAACTACCTCGGCGGGTTTTCATCGGTGACCGTCCGGAACGGTGCGGTATTCGCACGGGCGGAACCGACGTGGAAGGGGATCTCTCCAGCGGCGGCGGCGTACGTGCGCGTTCCCCGAAAGAACAATTCGACGGTCATCGGCAAGGAGACCTCCGACGCGCCATCCTTTCGTCCTGCGCACCGGAAACCACGATCCGCCGTGTACGCGTACGGTAACTATCGGCGACGGCCGGGATCCGACCGCACAGGCGCTTGCACGGGGCCTCACAAATCATGTATTACCAGACTTGGGTAGTATTCCGAATACAATATTCGGAATACTGTGTTCAGAATACTTTTTAAGTATTTCGAATACCGTTAAACCATCTCTTTTTTAAACGATTTTATTACTTCTCCGTCGTATCTTGTATAAGCTAATATCAGGTGTTTATTATTCTTGTAAACCATAAACTATAACAGTTATGCAATATAAAAATATAATAAAATAACATATATTTAGTCTACAATTTCAAATATTTCTGTTTAGTGGACATCTATTATTTTATAGTATGAAAACTAGAAGTATCTTAAAAGTATTCGGAATACAATTTTTTGTAAGTATTCGAGTATTTATTCTAAATACTTATAAAAAGTATTTTATCCAAGTCTGTGTATTACGAATATCGTTTTATCTATAAATAAAAACACTATATAGTACCGGTACGAGAATCGCAACTCGTATGATCGTGTGTGGTTTTCTCAGGAAACGGATTGTTATCGATGAAAATTAAGACGGTACCAATTAGTGGCGTATATAGGGGGAAGAGGGATAGTGGGTTACAGCCCCCCTCCCCGAAATGTTTTAAAAAATGAAAAATTATTTTAAAAGTATGTTATATTTTAATGGTGCTTTATGCTTATTTAGAATTTGCGTCCAACGTCAAATCGTTTTGGGACATTTTGTAAATTAAATGTAAATAAGTACCTACTGTGTCTTGTTAATAATTTTTAGATAGCAGTGGTAATTTAACTAATTCAACTCTGTCCAAAGTAGCCCCTCCCGAAAATATTTTCTGTATACGCCACTGGTACCAATCATGCGTAGCTTTGAAGTATTTTACCCGCGTGCACTTCTAAAATTGTTTTTCATCGACGACGGTTCGAAATATAACTATAGTATATATTTAGTTATATAATAATTCAAACAAACATAGATTTCTGTAAAGTTTAATAAATTAATAAATTAATATATCTACATGTGGGGCCCCGCAAAATTCTGCACCGGGTCCCGAAAACCGTTGGGCCGGCACTGCAACCGCGGTCGTCTTCGTCGTCCGTGGCGTAAGACCAACCAGACGTCGTAGCGGTTCCCGAAAACCGTTTCGGGTCGCGCGAACGAATAAAGCAACGATTCTTTCTTCTCATCGTTTCGACACAAGCGAATCGCTGTCGGTCTGAGAACAAGTGTGCGATAGCGTGACGCGCGAAATAAACATTCGTTTAGTGCCTCGAAGTTCTAGACAACAACACGTGAAAGGCGTTTGCGAATTCGTCCCCAAATGTCGAGTCGTCGGTCTGGAACACGTCGTAACCACCTGCCGTTCCCATTGGGTATACTTAAGGTGATTGAACGGGACGGTTGCGTTTCTCGTACCCCTGTCCCGTTGTCTCTTAGGGAATTTTCGGCACGCCGAAACGTTCAGTTTTCAGAATGCCGCGAAAAATAACGACAGTCGATCTTATGATTTTGGTAAATTGACATTTATAAATTATAAAATATAATAATTTAAAATTATAAATTCGAACGGGATGGATACGTTTTTCATAGCCCTGTCCTGCCATCGTCCCCTAGGGAGTCTTCGGCACACCGAAACGTCCAGTTTTCATGACGCGGAAAAAAACAACGACGGTCTATCTTAATATTTTGATAAATTGCCGTTTCTGTAACGTTTGACCGGCACGTATACACGCGACGTGTACGTACTTACTGCATGGTTGATTGACGATTGACGACGGTGATCGGATCAGGGTAACATCGGGATACACTAATAAATAATAAAAGCGACTGTCGTGGCGAAAGATATATTAATACAGACGTAATGTATGTATTCGATTCGTTCTAGTGTACCAGCACCGCAATATTAGCGTCAACGCAAAATTATCAAATTACTTTTTCACAATTCAATATTTCAGTATCGCAGTGATCATCGACCATTTTCATCACGTAAACGATTTTTTATATATAACAGATATATATATATATATATAAGTTGTTTATATTAAAAATGAGTGACTTGTTAATAAATGTAATTAATTAATTTTGTACTTTCGTTCCTTGAAATCGCAATAGTACGTAATTTTGTAAATAATAATTAAATATTAAAAATTGTTTATAGTCAAAATGAAGTTTCTCCCCCTTTTTTTTTGACTAGAAAAATATATGGTCATACTAGGTAAACATACGCCATGTACTCTCAACATTATTTTGAAAATTTACGGGTATACTACAAATACTCTCAAGTTTCTTGCACTAATATCAAATATAATTTTAACATAAGTTTAACAGGTTTTAATATTGGCATTTTTCATGATTAGTGTATTACTATAAAATATTTATTAACGGTATACCTAGTATGTATTTATCATGTTATCAATTTATTTAAATAATTTTAATTTCTGTTTCTGTAATAAATGAAAATGGATAAATTTCAATTTTTTGTTTTTTAATATTTACAACCCTTTTCCGTCATAACCAACATCACCATCTAAATCATAAATAAGTTCAGACACTCAACAAAATTGATGGCAACATTACTGAGAGCAAAACCATCACTACTCGTAATATTGTATAATACCATTGCCATTAGTTCCCGTATGTACTATATATTCAGCCCTCTTCAGTAATACAATAACAATAATCCAATAATTTCAACTTGTCGCAGCAACATGATACGTTGATTTTATCGATTTTTTAAACTTTTATTGCCACGAATATTTTAGTCACATATTTTTATCAACTCGAAATGCCATTCGGCAATCACGTTTTAACGCAGAATTTACTGTGGTTCATTGAATATTCATCATAATTATGTTTCAATGAACTTTAAACGCACCTGCGTATTGTTATCTCATGTGTCCATTGTACCACGAATTACGGGCATCATTACCATGATGACGGGCAGGCCCGTTTCCACCAAAAGTAGACCTTTCCCTTTTCCACAAAAAGTGTATCTTTCCCCTTTCTACCAATATCCGTTTCCGCCAAATGAGATATTGTTCACGTTTTTACCAAAACAATTGTATACTACGCTTAAATTAAAAGCACAGTAATAATTTTTTTTAACATATACTATCAATTCAATAAATGTAAAGGCATAATATAATATGTATAACATAGGTTGAACATTTTTAAATTTTATTTAAAAAAAATGGTCAGATATAAAAATGTGAAAAAAATGGTATATTATGGTATACGATACCTTAGTTATTCAAATTTAATTATATATAAAATTAGTTGATATTTGTTAACTGATCCTACAAAAAATTTAAAGTTGTTTAGTACTAGTGTTATGTTTCCACGTTTACTTTTGATTACTTAAGCCATCATGGAATTATAAATTTTAAAATTTATGTTTTATTTTAAAACACACACAGTTGTAATGCACTATTTAAACTGTGCCATCTTTTCACTTGTTCGTAAAGTATTTGATTATTTAGATATTATCATGGATAATCGATATAAAAGAATATACATAAGTACGATGACGGTTTAAAATACAATTAAATACAATAAACGTACAATATACATTGATTATATTGTGTGTATATTTATAATATATATTTTACATAAATCCGAAAAACTCATAAACAGTATAGGTATTTTAACGGATATTGGTGGAAAAGAGAAAGACACTTTTGGTGGAAACGTGTTACGTCCATGAAGACAGCCATCGGCTATCTAGCTCATAAATATACACTTGTGTCCTCGACTTCTATTATTTTTTTTCTTTTACGCCGATAACGGGCGTTCAAGGTTAGAGCCGGGATGACAAACCTTTTAAGTTGTTGAAAAAAATTAATTTTTTATCCGAACAACCATGTAAGTAGCGAATAATTAAAAATACCCGCATAAAAATCAGCGTTGACTGTAATTAGGCACTTGAAATAATTTACTGTTACACATTTATTATTTGAAAAATAACATTTATATAAATTATTTTCAATCATAATTTTATAATTTTATTTTACATCGATGGTTAAATTAAAACCACGAATAGTGTTTAAGAATCAAAGTGTTACTGAAATCGTGTTTTTTTATATAATTTGTTTATTTGGCAAATACATCCAAAGGATCCAAAAGTGGACCAAAAGTACATTTATCCGTATTCGTATATTTTATGTTTTCCGAAGATATTGTTTTTTTTTTATATTTTTTTTTGAGTTCCACCAATCATATATTTAATCATAATTTTATCCAATCAGACGTACAAAATAAGTTTTTTTGAGATAAATGTATACCTTAAGTATAATTATTGATTATGCTGTATCCTAAAAATAATTTTGTTTTCTTTTTATATGTAATTAAATCTTTCGAATATTTCACAATATTATGTCTCTATAGCTAAATTGACGTACTAATTTAGAATCTTATTTATTCTAATAATAATTTATTCTATTCAAACGGAAATTGACTGCCATTCTAAATTATTCATCATACGAACATAGGCACATAATACGTAGTGTTCGGTTACATGTGTTTCGAATTCGAATATTATATAGTATTCTTAATGGTATTTACTTTAAATTCTAATGGTATTTGAGTGTTTTGTTATATTAACATGCAGTATTGCATTGTATGCGGTTATTATACAACGATATGTGTTGAGACTATTTATTAAATACTCCTACAAATACATTTTACTAAATTACAGGCGTTCATAATTTTATAATGATGTTTTGTATTTTTTTTTTTTTTTAGTTATTATATCATTGTTTGTAAGTGCATTGTTAAATATAATATTACCATATGTTCTATTTTGCATAATATGCGTGCATAGTAAAATACTTTCTTATGGAACTTGCGTTTCAAAATAAACGGTTGAAAAATTAATCGAAGTTGTTTTCAAATTATTATTCTTTTGTAAATGTTACATATAACACGAGCATGATAAGAATGATTTAATGTCTGATATTCGTTTGAAAAAAATGCAATAAACAATCAATTAACAAACTAAATTATAAAATGTATCGATCGCGATATGCTTCTCTTATAAAATAGATAGGTGTTACGTTAACTGATACAAACT